CCGACGCGACTGGCGCCGCGTTTATCTATATACATTGTATGCATGTAAGCGGTCGCGTGTACTTTATACGCGTGTTTGTATGTCGAACAAAGACGTAATTGCATTAATGTACACTCGTTAACAATTTCCGTATGCTCGCAAGTATGTATTATTGCGCAGGAAAAGAGGGAGAGACAGAAAAAGAGAGAGAGAGAGAGAGAGAGAGAGAGAGAGAGAGAGAGAGAGAGAGAGAGAATGTGTGTGTATAGTACGTATATGTGATACGTGTGCGTGCATGCATGTGTCGGTGCACGTATATATATATATATACAGGGTGTCCCATTTAACCTTACAAATCGTAATATCTGGAAAACTACATGTCGGATGAAAAAAAGTGGGTAATGAAATTTGTTCGTCTCGAAGGGGGACATCCAATGATATCAAACTCGACCTCCCACCCCACTCCCGGGGGGTGGGGGTGGGGGGCAACTTTGAAATCCTAAATGGGAACCCCCATTTTTTATTGCAGATTCGGATTCTACGCCACAAAATACGTAAGTTTCGTTCGAAACTTTTTTTTTGATTCGTGATAGATGGCGCTGTAATCGCAAAAAATTAGATTTTCTTCAATTCTCCAGAAGTGATCATTGGATTGAAAAATAAAAAAATACCTGTTCAATATTTTTAAAAATATTTTTAAAAAACATAACAGTTATTCCCCCCATCCCATAGGGATAGGATGGGTGGTAACTTTCAAATCTCAAATGAAAACCCACATTTTTCATTGCAGAATTAGATTTTACGTGAAGTTTTTATGAAAACAATTTTTTTCGCGTGATAGATAGCGTTGAATTTTTCCGAGAAACTACTTTTAGCGTTACCCAGGAACAACGACGAGGACGTAGTAGCTTTCTGTTCCCTTCGGGGTGCTTGTTTTAGGTGAGTCCCCTCGCCTCTCACCATTGGGATGCTTGTTTTAGGCGAGTCCTCTCACCTCTCACCATTGGGATGCTTGTTTTAGGTGAGTCCCCTCGTCTCTCACCATCGGGGTACTTGTTTTAGATGAGCCCCCTCGCCTCTTACCATCGGGGTGCTTGTTTTAATTTCTCGGAAAAATTTAACGCTATCTATCACGAATGAAAAAAATTGTTTCCATTAAAACTTCACGTAAAATCTAATTCTGCAATGAAAAATGTGGGTTCTCATTTGAGATTTGAACGTTACCACCCACCCTACCCCGAAGGATGGGGAGGAATATCTATTATTATGTTTTTTAAAAATATTTTTAAAAATATTGAACAAGTATTTTTTATTTTTCAATCCAATGATCATTTCTGGAGAATTGCAGAAAATCTAATTTTTTGCGATACAGCGCCATCTATCACGAATAAAAAAAAACGTTTCGGACGAAACTTATATATTTTGTGGCGTAGAACTCGAATCTGCAATAAAAAATGGGGGTTCCCATTTAAGATTTCAAAGTTGCCCCCTACCCCCACCCCCGGGAGTGGGGTGGAAGGTCGAGTTTGATATCATTGGATCTCCCCCTTCGAGACGAACAAATTTCATTACCCACTTTTTTTCATCCGACATGTAGTTTTCCAAATATTACGATTTGTCAGGTTAAATGGGACACCCTGTATATATATATATATATATATATATATATGTGCGTGTGCGTGTGTGTGCGTGTGTGCGTGTGTGTGCGTGTGTGTGCGTGTGCATGTGTGTGTGTGTGTGTGCATGTGTGTGCGTGTGTGTGCGTGTGCGTGTGTGCGTGTGTATGTGCGCGCGCGCGCGCGCGTGTGTGTGTGTGTGTGTGTGTGTGTGTGTTTGTGTGATAAAAAAGAAAGAGAGAAATGTGGAGGCGGCGAGCGAAAAGGGAAAAAAAAGGATGGAAGGAAAAGAATATAAAGAGAAAAAGGGAGAGAAAAGGAAAGGGAGAGAAAGAGAGAGAGAGAGAGAGAGAGAGAGAGAGAGAGAGAGAGAGAAAGAGATGGGAGAGGGGAGAGAAATAACGCGTCAATACCGTTAGCTGGTAACTTGGTCAACATTTGTTGATTGTTTGCATTAGTCATTTTTGGTTGGTCAACATAGCAACCGCAACGCCGGCTGCCAAATGCCGGCGATGTATACGTAACTTTGCAAACACCGCCGGAACTTTCGTTTTCACGTGGAAGAGTACACTATGCAACAAACAATTTAGAAAAATCCGTTTAATATATTTAGCTAGGATGTCCATGATCAATCGGAAATGCGCTAATTAAACGTACATAAGTCCCATCCGGTTGCCCGTCGCCGGCCTCTCAGAGATAATTAGATGCATGCGTTCATCAAACACGTTAAATCGGGTCTAATCTTGAACAAACATCGTAGGAACGTAACGAACAACAAAATAAATAATAATTAATGAATTAAAAAGTATTCAAGTTTTTTACCGTTTTCACCGTGGATACAGTCATTCATTTAAAGCAATAATTTATTTAGCATTAATTTAGCAAATACACGTCGCAAAACGTTATTCAAACGCGAAGTTTAGTTCCAGTCTTTGCAAAGAGAGGTATATTCTTCGAAGAAATAAATTTCCTAAACATAATATAACGTATTTTCCGGCTTTGTGTAAATAATATTACGATTTTTACGATATTGCTAGTTATACGGACGGACGGTCGTTTCTCGTGAGAAATCCTCACGATGTAGAAATAAAATATGTTAATGTGAAATGACGACATCTGCGAACTCGCTACGCGCATTTTGCGGTCTATACTTTTTTCACATTTATTTGTGTTCTCCTCACGTTGACTGCAATGTAGAAACTCTACGAATTCGATCGCGCTTATGTGGACTGTTTTATTCGTCTCAGACGAGACACATTTTCAACTGGCAGATTAATATGTGCCGTGTAAAGAACCAATGAAATCGATATTGTTCTGCACAGAAATATTATTCCATAACGAACCAATTTTAGATCGTTCAAAGTAAATCGTCGTACGTGGCTGGTGCGTACGATATTGCGTAACAAATTCGCCGTTTCGCACCACAAACTCTGATACTATTAGATATTCATTTTCCCAGCATTTGCCGAAGCTCATTGCGCATGTAAACCTCTGGTGTATAAATTTATATAAAATTATACCTTTCTCTCTCTCTCTCTCTCTCTCTTCCCCTCTCCCTCTCTCTCCCCCTCTTCCTCCCTCTCCCCCTCTCTCTCTCTTGCCCTCACCTCTCTCTTATTCTCTTCGACTATGTCACACATGTTTGTTTGGATTTACGTATCGTATACGAATGTGTTCATATATACGAATCTATTTGTGTGTAGACTTTTTTTTTAATAATGCCAATACTTTTTTCTCTATAATAAATCCGATATTAATCTGCTTCGCAATATTTAGATAGATGATTATAGCTTTACTGCATAATATTTAAAAAAATTTGTTCAATAAAAATATACGGTAAAGTGCGGTCAAATACCTATTAGTGGCACATTAAAAAACTATAAAATATATAAATAAAATATGACCAACCTAGATATTGTAGCATCAAAATGAAGAGAGCCGATATACTGGCTATATATTTTAATAATAAATTAGGTCCCAAAAATGTGATTTACAAGAAAATGGTGAAACAGTGATATATGCAAAATCTTAAGATAGTTCTCGAACAAACGCTGGCATGCAACTTTAATAACTCTCTGATTCTCTGATTGACTCTGATCGACTGACTCTCTGTGACTTAAAAAATTGACGATCGTCATTGGCTGCGTTCAGCAGAACAAAGTGATTATGCTATGCGTTTCGTCCGAATAGATTACAGGTAGTCATGTCACATGATTCCCGAAATGAACAAGCATCTTCAAAGATGAGCGCCAAAACAAAATAATTTTGCGCTCCGCTCGGTGCCGCGCGCGGTGCTGTCCGCTGCGCGCGCACCCGTCTTCATTGTGTTGCTTGTTCTCCCGAACAATAGCATCGAGTGTTTCCTCTCTTCAAATTATGGGAAAGCATTCTCATTCGAAGTCCCGGAAATGGTCTCGCTTCCGGTCACACTAATCTATTACTTTTTGCCTTCAGGAAAAATTCTGGCGAACGTTCTCCGGCCACGGATACAGAGGTAATATAACCTCCAGATCGAAATGTCCGCGTGACGAATCCCGCGGACAACGACACTGCTCTTCCAGTGTGCATTCTCGTTCATCAGAACGTCCGTTGACAATTTTCTTGGAGAAGAAGCTAGATGCTCTTCTCAATTTACTCATACACTCGGGCTCAACCCGCACGGATCGGCAGGAGGCCGATCGTGTCATAACCTCTCCATCGGTGCGGACGGTCAAGAAGCCTGTACGACGAAACCAGATCCTCCGCTTAGGAATACGGAAAGCTCTAACCCTGGAGGTAAGCCTGAGTTAATGTCTCGAGGCTGTCCTTCGATGCAGGCCCAGTGACATCATTTCTGGACTGCGAACCATTACCTAGAGTTTGGTCTTGTCCGCTAGATTCTTTCATAACGAGGCTGTCCTTCGAGGCAAGCCCAGTGACATCATTTCTAGACTGCGAACTATTACCTAGAGTTTGATCTTGTCCGCTAAATTCTCTCATAACGAGGCTGTCCTTCGAGGCAGACCCAGTGACATAATTTCTGGACTGCAAACTATTACCTAGAGTTTGGTCTTGTCCACTAGATTCTCTCATAGTGAGGCCATCCTTCGAGGCATGCCCAGAGCCGCCTATCTCATTCTCGTTGAGAATAACGTTTCTCTGGCTCTATGTTCACTCGCAATAATATGCTCAGCGACTGGCCAGCAAGAGGAAACGGAGGAGATAACTCATCCTTCTGCGAAAGTTACTTTTGCGAAATCCTCTCTTCCGGACACGACGTCACACCTTCTCAGCAAGACGAAGTTACTGCGTGTAAGAGAGTTTTATTGAGGGGCGATCCGGATGATGTGGTCCTAGGTCCGTCAGTCCATGAGCTAATACGACATGGTCCTCCACCTTTACAGTGGTTAGGCGAGATGTTCATCAGTACTTGCTTCGGCAATACATATATTAAAATTAGGACGATACAGGGAAGATTGGCATAACCCCTGCGCAAGGATGACACGCAAAATCGTGAAGAGTTCCACATTTAAAGTCGTCACTCAAAGTGTTATTGAAGCCGCAATTGCAGCGCAAGCAAACGTATTTTGAAACTGCAAGCGATACTGGCCGTTTAATCTCTCAGCATCATACTTCTAAGGCTAGATGTGGTCTGATTATGCCTATGTTAACTTCATCCGCTAGAAACGTTCTTGATGCATTGCCTATTGGCAATCAGCTTTTTGGTGAACAATATTTAACCAAAAATGAAAGACGTAGCAGCAGCGGACAAGTTAGTTTGCAGCTTTATTACTCTAGTGCAGGCGCCTGCGAAAGCGAATACTGCAAATAAAAGCCAACCTTCCTTTGCTCATAAACCCTCATCATAGGGAAATACGAGAACCTTTGCCAACAAATCAGCGTCTTATCGGCAAGAGTTGTACCTCAGTCGACGAGACATCGGTCGAGCACTCAGACCAGGAGCCAGCGCCCCCGCATATAGAGGTAAGCATTGCGGGCAGGCTTGCTCAAATTTTCGAGATCTGGTCAGATCTCACTAACGACTCTGACGTTTTAACCGCAGTTTCAGGCTATAAAATACCTTTTCTTATAACTCCTTTCCCCCGCCCATATTGGCGGGAACTTTGGTTGAGTCCATTAGAACAGACGCTGTGTGCAAAGCAAATAAGGCGCCTCATCTACAAGGGCTCCATCGCCGAGACCACCTTTACAACGGGTAAAAAAAAAGAAAAAAGAGATTCATTATGAATCTAAAAATCCTCAACAGATATATTCTTCTACCTCATTTTAAGATGGAGGATCTCGGGACTGCTACCCGTCTACTATCTCAAAATTGTTTTATGGCAACATTAGATTTAGAAGATTCTAAATTTTTAGTGCCAATTCGTGCAAATTATCGCAAAATAATAATAATAATAACATCTTTGTTTCTCTTTTCAGGAACGCCTTTTTGAGTTCTATGTATTACCTTTCGGCCTCGCCACAGCTCCGTATAATTTTACAAACATATTGCGACCTATCGCAGCTCACCTAAGCGAACGAGGTTTATTGTCGGTTATCTACCTTGATGACTTCCCGCTTTTCGGGGACTCGTAGGAACAATGCTCTGCCAACACACACTAAGAGAAAGGTATATGATATTTGGAACTATAATGATATAGTAACAAAATTATAGTCCGAAATATCATATTTATAGTTCCACGAACTATGAAAATATGGCTGACGCCAAAATGAACTATAAAATATAGTGAGATTATAATTAATTCAACTATATTTTTCTATCAATATAGACACCACTCTGGATTTACTCAAGAGTCTCGGTTTTGTTATTAATTCCCCCCCAAAAAAAAGGAAAAAAGGAAATGTAAACTTCTCCTGGCGCGAGAACAAAGATTTCCGGGATTCTTGTTGAATTCATCTACTCTGAATATAACATTACCTGAGGATAAATGTTTAGCCATTCTGGAACGCCTTGAGAAGTATTCCAAGAAACGTTCCTGCAAAATTCGAAATTTGCTAGTTGAATAGGCATTTTATATAGAAATTTTTTCAGATGCCTCCCTCACAGGTTGAGGTACATTTGCCTGCACGAATAAAAACTCACGATTGGTGGTCATACTTGGAACGCAGAGAGCATATAAATCTTCTAGAATTAAAGGCTGGGAGTATGCTCTCAGATCTCTGCGAGTCATCTCTCAGCACTCGCCAAGTCAATCCGGCAATGGTATGAAGCACGTGACCTATATATCTTTGCTTCTTATATCTGCTCTGTCGACAACGTTGTGGCGGACACAAAGTATCGCTCGGTGTCCATAGGCACCGAAGGGGAGCTTACTTCCTCCCTTTTTTGCAAAGATTAAGAAACGATTCGGACCATTTGACGTCGATTTATTTGCCACTCATAACAATGCAAAAGGTAATACCTTTGCCTCGTGGCTACCGGATTCCTTTGTTTTGCAGTCGACGCTTTTATTTTCGACTGGGGGAATTCTAATTTTACGCCTTTCCTCCTTTCGTACTTATTACTAGAAACTTGCGGAATATCGTAGACGATCGGTCAGAGGACATTTTAGTTGTACCCCGATAGCCAGCTCAACCTTGGTTTCCCCTCTTCCACCAATTATGTACCGGATTATATATTGGATCCAATTCACTTCCGGCTACACCCTAATTTATTACTTTCTTCCTTCAGGACTCCACACCCAATCGGGCACAACATTTCCCTGGTAATAGGAAAATTATTAGGCAAGCGTTTAGCCGAAAAGGTTTCCCGGACGACACCATAGACAGCCGTCGCATTGCTTGAGGCCTCGAAGCTATCGCAATATTCTAAGCCCATTTAATTGTGGTGGAATTTCTGCACTCAGCATAAACTTGACTGGTTGTGCCCGGCAATAACACTGATTCTCTCCGTCTTATCTTCGCTGCTTCGTAAGGTTAACGCTTATGGAATTCTAAATTGTATCGCTCAGCGTTCTCGCTTATCACGGATGTTAATCTTGGCTCAGACGACAGAGTACGACGTTTTTTCAGAGGCGTATTGGTTTTAAAACCTCCTAAATCCAAGCACGCACTGACATGGGATCCAACGCCTGTCATATTTGGCCTCTCTTTGGCCTTGTTTTTAGAACTTCTTACGCGCAAATTTGCCACCTTGCAAATTTTAGCTTCAGTGCAGCGTGTACAGACTCTGGGGTTAATTAAGCGACGTAATATTTATTCCTCGAAACTACTGTTATTATTAAAGTACTTGATCGTATAAAGACCTCTGATTCAAACCGGCCTCAAATGGTCATAGTTTTTCCATCACTTTGATGATCAGCCTGCTTTGTCAATTTTTTCGTTATTGCATTTATATATTAGTAAGACAGCGCATAATTCTTCGTCAGAATCCTCTTCGGCCTTATTTTTTAGCTTTAAGAAGCCCGTCCGTACCATATCCACTCAAACGATTAGTCGTTGGATGCGACTAACACTGTCTGAAGGAGGAGTTGATACTTCAATTTTTACGACTCACTCTACTCGTCACGCCGGCTCTTCGGCCGCGCGTCAAAAAGGTATTTCTGTTGACGATATTCGAAAAGCGGCAGGCTGGTCGTCCACTTCGTCAATTTCAGCGAATTTTTTATAACCAACTATTATTACCCACAACTAAGGGGGCTGAAGCGATTATCTTGAATCATTAACTGTGAACTTAATCTTTTTCTTTTCTAAATGCATTATGCTAGGAGTTGCGCTAATAATTTTACCTAGGCATATTTCATTTCGTTTTGCTACCTAACAGATGCATAGCGTCCTTTTTCCTTTTGGTCTTTGTAAGGACTTTTCTTCAAAAAGGAAAAAAGAAATATCTCGCGGTCACAAATCGTGGCTTTGAACAGCTTGAACATGTAATCTACTCGGACGAAACGCATAGCATAATTGTATGATCAAACGAACTCCTGAGTGAAGTTCGATCATAATTATGCGTATGCTTTCGTCCGAGTAGAGTCACCCTCCCTTTCTTTGGAACTTCGTTCGTCGTTCCCTCCCACCTTCGATTTGTGACGGCTTTGAACCATGAAGCGGACAACGCCGCGCGCGGCACCGAGGGCGCCAAATTGTTTTGTTTTGGCGCTCATCTTTGAAGAGATGCTTGTTCATTTCGGGAGTCATGTGACATGACTACATGTAATCTACTCGGACGAAAGCATACGCATAATTATGATCGAACTTCACTCAGGAGTTCGTTTGATCATACAATCAGTGAGCGCTTAGTGATTCTCGCTCCTGATTGGTAAATACTTCTGGATCTATGATGAATCTAAAAGAATGTTCCAATCACAGACAATAATCACTAAGCGCTCACTGATCATTTTATTCTATTGAACGCAGCCATTGTCTCGTCGCGGTCGCTGCGTCCTTATGCGCAGATCCTTTCTAGCTACGATTAAACAATGATACTTCGGCGTCACACACCTTCCAATACTCCTTGTCCCTACAATATACAAAACTTTATTGAGAAAAAAATATCTAAATTAATCTAACTTTATAGCTCTTGACGCGCTAATTAGGAATCTCCAAATTCTAAAATGGACCGACATATCGTTCCAGACGAAACAGTCCATTTAAAATTACACGCCACTATATGGTGCCACTTATTTTCATAAATAAACAGTGAAATTGTAGCAAAAAAGTTTTGGTAGTCATTCAAGTTAGAAGAATGAACTCCAATGACCTTGATCTTGACATTAACGTATGCTATTAAATTAATCTTACTGAATAAAATGAAATTTTCAAAAAAATTTCAGCCGTCACTAATTGTTTATTGGAAAGTTTTAAATGTATGAAGTTGCATAAGTACGACAGTTTTCTAACACTTTATACATTAAAAAGTAAGTAATGCAAGGTGTTCATGAAAAACGAACAGTATGTATGTAAAGCAATACATGTATTATAGGTCATGCCATAAGTAATACGTTTTTCTCATTGGTCAAAGTGAATGATGCAATATTTTATGGTTATTGCATAATCGTACAATGTATATGTGTAATCATTAGAATTTTGCAAATTTTTTCAAGTAATTGTGTGTCAGCTAAATATTTAACATGAATTTAAGAGTGAAAAATAAACGTCATTATGGAAATGTCGAAAGAGCATTTAAGGCATATTTTGCTTGGGCCGAGACAGCACTGCCACAACAACGATAGATAAAATATGCAAATTCATGGTCCGGGTATTATAAGTGTTAGCCAAGGTCAAAGATGGTTCCAGCAAATTTAAAATATGATGTACAAAGAGAGCTCGATTCATTCTTTGGATTAAAGTACAAGAGCTTCTATCGCCAGGGTATCGAAAATTTAAAATTAAGATGGGAAAAAGCTGTAAATAAGAATAGTAAATATATCTTAGATTAAAATTGAATATATTCTTTTTTATGTTGTTTTAGAATCTATTCTAAAAAACCGCATTACTTATGAGATAATCCGATATATACGCAAGGGATGGACCCCCTTTACATCTTCTACAAACTAAACTAATCTAATCCAACGCA